TCATTATACGATTAACATTAAATTAAATAATTATATTGTTGGCAACTTCGCATATACAATACTGTCTCTTTTTTTACTCTCATTAAAAGAATTATTTCTTTTTGATTATACAAGTTTATTCATAGCAAACTTAATAAAATTTTGCTGATATATACTGCTTGCTTTTCTTTTATGCATCTTATTTTAAAAAACTCAAAAAATTTAAATAGATCGATATATCATTCAGAAAGTTTTAGAAAATTCTGCTAATATTACTTTAAAAAATAAATAGAATAATTTTATAATATCTGATTACAACTTTTCTTCTTGTTTCTTTTTCAATACAAATAGGACAAATTCTATCAGTACTATAGTGTAATTAGAATCTCATTGGTCAAAATTTTAGTGCAATAGTAATTACGTCTTCTTATTTAGTTCATTTCTTTTCTTAAAAAGTGATATATTTAAATTAGATTAAGTTTGATTCTGAAGGAATGCAAGATCACTTTTCTTTATAATTGATTTTAAATAAGATTTTTGTTTTTTCTTGTGATTTGTATTTTATTTTGTTTTTTAGTTTATTTATAAATGTATAAATAGTTTACTTTTATTATAATAAAAATTAAGCGAAACTACCGCATTTTAAAAAAAATACTGTAATATCAACTATTAAACTAAAATTGGTTAAATCTTTTTCTATAATAAAATGAGGGAGACATATAAATTTAACTGAAAATCTTGATTTTTTTAGAACTTCTTATTAAGAAAAATTACATATATGAAAACAAATTATATTATTTAAAAGAAAATTTTCATAATCTTTTTAAATTTTTAAAGTTAGTATTAATATTATATGTAATTATGACTTATTGCTATAAATTTCTAGTTTTCATATTGAAATAAATAATTATTTTAAATCAAAAAAAAAATTTTTATTTTTAATTCTATGATATCCAATAAAATTTTAGTAACTTTTAATATTATAGGATAATTTTAATGATAATAATATAGTTTTTCTAATTATCTTAACAAAATGTGTCTCTTTCTTTTTTATTTAAAAATATCCTTTTTAAAATTTTTTTTGATTGGTCTTTTGAGTATTTTACTTAAATTACTTCTGAAAAAGAATCAAATAAATCAAATATGAGATTAGTAATATTAGCGATTTTTTGTTAAATAAGGTTGTTGGATAAAATTTAAAGGTTTTGCAAGTCATCTAAATGGAAAAAGATAAAAATTAGCAAAATTATATTAAAATCTTATTAAAAAATCTGCAAAATTTTGAAAAAAAAATTATATTAAAGCTTATAAAAATGTGAAACTATATCAAAACTTTAATAAAAATTTAGTAAAACTATAGTTTAGATATTTTGCCAATTCTAAAATAAGTTTAGATAAGCAACCTTAGTTGTAAGTTTTTTCAGAATAATTGTTGATTAGGAAGAAAGCAAAAAAATTCATTTTTTATAAAAATTTCTTGAGAATTTTTGTTTTTATTTAAAATTTTTTAGAAGTATTAGTAATATTATCAACATTTATAGTAGTATTTAAAGGGATGATAATATGAGTTATTTCACTAATTACAGTTATTTTTTTTTTCTTTGTCTAACAAAAAAGAGTCAGCCTTCATATTTATTAGAGTTTTTTTATTATTTGTTTGGAAATACTGCTTTCTTGAATAATGTCTGCAGTTAGTTGAGTATTTTATTATTTGTGAGGCTGTTGCTACAACTTAAGAATACCTAAATATAAGCAATTAATTTATTTAATCTGGTTTTTATTTTGTTTTTCTTTAATTTGTTCATATTATAAAAAGAGTTTTTAATTTCTATTTTTTTTTAAAAAATTCTTAATTTGCTAAAATTATTTATATTACATTAATTTTAAATTTTGATTGAATAAAATTAAAATTATTATAAATAAGATGTATTATATGTTACAATTAAACTCATCCTTATTTTATTATTTTATATTTCTAATTTTTAAAAATAAAATTCAAATTCTGAAAACTGAAGCCAGTTTTGCAAATATTATTTATTGTACGTATCAAGTGAATAATATAAAAATAATACTATAAAGATGTACTGGCTGCCTTTTCAATAGACCCACATTATTTAAGAAAAACTCTTTAAAACTAACTAAATATAACTGTGTATTAGCTGTATCTTTTAGTAATTGTGTGAATATTACTTTTAACAATAATAAGAAAGGTTATATTTATTTATAGTTACTACTATTTATAAAAGATTTATTATATTATGCTTTCTTAAGATTTAATAATCTGTTAATTTCAGCTCTTTTGATTAATTATCATTATCCTGCATTTTCATCTATTATTTCTAAGTTTATTCTTTTTTTTCATATAAATAATTTAATAATTCTATTGTAACAATTTTTTGTTACTTCAAATTTAGAATTTTATACATATAGTTCTCTCACTAGTCTGGATTTTTCTTCAATCAGAATGGATTTAGCTTCATTGCAAATAAACCTGATTTTACCAGTAATTTCTTATTCAACTACAATTGTAATTTCTTTTTTTTATTATCAATTGCTAAATTAGCAGTAATCTTTACTGCTATTATTGTTATTCCAAAGAATTGCTGTTTAATTATCAAAACAGATTCACAAGTTGTCATTTAACAATTCTACAAATTTAAAAAGATTCTGAACTTCTCTTCATTAACTCGTCCCTTACTAAAGATCAATAGCTTCCCTTTATATTTTAGCCTCTTTAGTATTATTTAAGCATAGAATCTTAATGTTCACTTACAAAAAGTTAAAGTGTATTCAGGTGATTTATTTAATAACAAAGTTGACCAGTTGGCCAAGAATTTTTATAATACTTCTGCTCTTATATTTGACCTCTCTTATATTGATCAATATTACTACAAGTATAAAGATATGTATGTTTTGACTTAAATTTATCTGTTTGTCAAAGATATTATGCAATTGATAGTTTATAATAACTTTTAACATCTTTACATGATTAGCAAGTATTATTACCTTAATATCAATTAGCCTGCTATTGCTTTTTACATAAATGACAACATAGCTAATACTCACACTTCTTACGAAATTTCAGCTATTAGGAAGAAGAAAATTCAAAGGCTGTTAGAAATGCTTCCCACCATGAAAATTTTGAAAGTAAGACATCTAAATATTTTTAACACAATATAGCTTTATGTCAAATGCAAATGTACAGATGAAACCTCCTCACACATTTGGGAATGTTCAGTAATATGAACTCAAATGCAACATATTATTAAGAACTCTCAGCAATTGCTGTTTGATTTAACTAAGAATAGTAGCTCTGCTACTAATCTGTATAGTCTACCAATATGGCACATGTCTATTCAAAACTCTCTATACTTAATCACTTTAATCAAAGGAATCATTTTTCAATCATTATATAAATTTGTGAAGGATACTAAAAGTTTGAATAAACTTGTCTTCAAGACCCTCTCAGCTTTTATGCATTATATCTTTGAATAATCATAACCAATTTGGATTGACAGATGCATTAAGCAAATAACCTTTGAAAAATCTAATGACATAGATTTTAAAACAAAAGTAAATAACACTTTAGCAACAAGATATAATCTTTTATATTCGTCTTTTAATTATAATATCAATAATTCTATTGATTAAATAATCTGTTATACAGTCAACTCTTAATATAGTGAACTCTTGATATAACGAATTTTTGAACAAATATAATAAAAATACTCTTGTTATAACGAATTAGCTAATCAAATTTCTTAAAATCTTCATTATATAGCCTTATAGCGAAGTTGAGGTCTAGGATATAGAATTCATTATAATAAGAGTTAATTGTAAATCCTACTAGATGAATTTTTAGTGCCATAGTGATCAAGCTCTTTCTCATTTAATTTGTTACTTAAGTGATAATTTTAGTTTAGGTTAGAATTAGATTCTAAGAAAGTGCAGGTTAGTTTTAATTTAGTTTAGATTAAAGAGATTTTTGTATTTTTTTAAATTTGTATTTTGTTTACTATTGTTTACATATACTTTAAATTTAATATAAATTATGTGAAACTACCACACTTAAAAAAAAATTTTTTAAATAAAATAAAATAAAATTCAATTATCAAAGTGAATTTGTGATTTTCTTTTTTTTTCTTTTGATTATTTACTACTATTATCATTATTATCAAAAGAATTCGTATTTTATATTTTAAAAAGTTTCTGAAAATAAATTATTATGTGTAAAAAATACTAATAATACTAATAATAAAAAATAAAAGATTATCATATACAAATATTACATCATCTCCTTCCCAATTTTCTAATGATACAAGCTATATTTATCAAAATTTAATTCCTCTTATTTTAAGATTATATTACAGAATCATAAAGAAAACCAGATGTTTACATGACTCTCATTCAATTTCAATTTGTAAATCATATGAAACACCATTTGGATTTATACTAAGTTGATCTGATTCAAAAAACTAACCTATGTCTTTAGAGCTAAATAGCAGCATTTTTTCAAATTAAACTTGTTGAAAGGTGATATAAGTTCTTCAAAAGTATCTACAGCAACATAATACATTTTCATGTTTAAAATTCCTTGAAAGAATTGTTTAACCACTTACAAAATGTTGTTTGTAAAGATATATTGAATTCGTCGATAAATTGTTACTTCATTGAGTGTTTCTCCAAAGAGCATATATGTGATATGTAATTAAAAATCCTTTTCGCTTTTAATGTAGGATCTATACTTCTATATGGTGTGGAAATAAAGTCCCAATCCCATCCCATCCCAAATCCCATTCCTTAAACATAATTAATGATCATAATTTAATGATATTTAGTTCATTAAATTATAAATTAAATGGAATTTGGAATTTGGGATTGGGATTTGGGATATGGATATGTGATATGTGATTTTAAATATAGTATGGAATTTGGGATGGGATGGGATTCTAGAGGTATAGGCAGCAACTATAGTAGGATCCTTTACATTTATCATGTCGATATGCTCACAAGCCAACCTTTCACGACTGAGTGTCTCCTTGAGCTTTAACACAAAGTCGACTTTCCGCTTGATAAAGATCATGAATTATGTAAGATTGTCCTCCAAAAAAAACCAGACTTCACATCTTGAAAGATTTCTCTTTCGCGTACGGGAATCATAAGCGAACCTTGACGTGGGTGTAATGGCCCTTCCGTCGTTATATGATTCTCGCGTTTTCTTTTACTTTGATTGTATGAACTGGAGGAAGCTAATAAGTAAAAAACAGTGTATATGTCAGTCATAGTGCAGACGAAAATGAGACAACAGATATCGAAAAATCAAGACATTTTCACGTTCATTCGCGTTGATAATTTATTACGACTCACTTACCGGTGGCAAACATTTTTCGGCAAAGGACCTTGAAATGACCTCAAATGACATCATTTTATTGTAAATTTCAAGTCAAAATGACCAAAGGTCATTTAAAAAATAGTAAATGACCTTTTAATTTGCAAACACTGAATGGCAGCGGGTTGCTCTACGATAACACGAATATGTTGTTTGGGCGGGTTTGACGATACGAAGCAGGAAAGAAAAGCGCAAAATCTAGTAAGCCTGTGGGACATTATCGGGAAAGAGAAAGATGAAAAAATAAGATAACAGGCGCTACATTTTCTTTTCGTTATTATTACTTTTCTAAGGGAGATGTGATGTGAGTAAAAATCCTTAACATAAGGAAGGTACTCAGCCGATTTCTCCTTCAAAAACAGCAGATTTAATCAAAGAACTCATAGTAAGATATAACCGCCACGGCACTAATGTGATTAATTTAATGGACGCTCTTTCCCGTATCCGCAGTATACAGGATGTATAACACTTGCTATGCTCTCACATTCATTAAGAATGTGTAAAATGACTAACCTTCCTTCTTTCGTTTTCCGTTTTAGATTCTCAAAATAACACTTCCAATTCACTCGCCAGGGCACTATAAGACCAGCTTTTTTTTTATTTGTTTCTTCAGGGTATTTTTTTTTGGTAAAACAAGTCCCATGAAACTATTCCCACTCTTCACATGATTGCTTCCAATATTCGGTATGTCGAAGCTTCTTTAGTATCTTTTTTTTCAACATTGTTAACAATCCAAAATAGAAAGTTTAAACATAGGATCTTTTAAAATACGCGACGTGTTTAGTTTTTATACCCGATATGCATGATATGCATATACTGCACAGGGACGATGATTTTTCTGTGTTTCACAGGAAATCACAGAATATGGATGATAATTTTCAAAATTTTGGCCCGATTTATCATCGTAATGCTGGCTGATATTAAGTTTGCCAGAATTTGCGAATCGTAATGTTGGCTGATCTTTGCATAGTTCTTTATAATAAATTAAATTTAACTATCAGATGTTTAATCATCAAATGTTTAGTCAAATACAAAAAGTTTAGTACTTTAAAAAGGTTTGTACATTGCATAATTCTGTATAACGCAGGTCAAAAAGTGAAAAATTTTTTGGAAATAATAATCAATTTTACACAGATTCACTATTTTTATTCTAATTATTCTATTACCATTATTACCATATTAAAATTAAAATAATAAATAATAAAATATAATAAGGATTCTTTAATTTTTTTTTGGTATTTTGGTCAAATATATTTATTTACCAAGGTATTTAATTAAACAATTAAAATACTTAAATAATGTAAATCACCAACTTTAACGCCAGTCTTTCTTTCCATTAGACATTTTAGAACTGAATAAATGTTTAGGTCTCTTAACTTTAATACTTCTATCAGACTCTCCAACTTTAGCAAACAAATTAGGTTTCCTTTGGGACAGTTTCTTTCGTTTCTGAGTTTCTTTTAGTTCCTATAAAAGATACAAGATTAATAAACATACACAAAAAAATCTATATTCAAATAAAAAGAATATTATTGTAGTACCTTAGTATCGGCTAATCCAGCAACACTGCGATCACGTACAGCACTTTTCGAACGAACTGCACTTTTAGAACGTGATCCTTGTGTAGATGATTGTGAATTATCAATATCCATATCATCTGTCTCTGACCTTTTGCGTTTCCTAGTTAGACTACGTGCACGTATTGCACTTGTATCCAACCCTAATTGACCTAATTGCTCTTCAACTTCTTTAATAGACTATGCGTAATAAAAAAAGAAAATTTGAATGATGATACATAATTGATTTATTAATATCATTAAATATCATCATTTTAATGAATTGTACCTTTGTTATTGCGGTTCTAGGCATAATAGGACGATTTTTCATCATCTTGCTAGCTCTATGAGCTTGTACAATCAATTTCTTTTTCTTTTTGATAGCTTCTGCTAATTTCTTTGTTTCTTCTTCTTCCGAATCAACCTGAATAAGATATTATTCATACATAAAATTAATAAATAAATCGTAGATATATAATATCTACTTTTATTTCGTACCATTTCTTCTGCAGAATCATAATATCCCTCAGCGGTGAATTTTTCTTCCTCGCGCTCTAGTGCATCCAATTTTTCTGCAATTTCAGGGTCAACAAAGTCCATTACATTCTTGCCATTCATAATTTCTGGAACGACGTCATATTTCCATCCATCGTTTTTCAATTGATATTTCTCTGAAACAATAAATGTATGTTAAAAATAATATAATAATGTTTAAATTTCTATTTTTTTTATAACTCACTATTTAAATCAATATTATATACACCCGGTCCGCCACCATTAGCTTCCAAGTCTCTCTCCAATTGACGTCTTTTAGGATCTTTAATATCATATAATGGTCTACCCTTAACTTGTTCAGGGATAACGGGTGGACGTGGTATATCGTCACGTGCTAATGGCTCAGCAAGATGGATCTTGTTAATGACCTCGTTGATTTTATTTCCTCTAAGCTTAAAATCTACACGAGCCGCCAACAATTTATCGCACGCCTAACAAAATAACTTTGAATAAAAAGTGTCGTTATCACGTGATTTTATATAATTAAAATATATTCTTACAGCATTTCTCACGTCCATGACCCCTTCATCTGTATAACAACTCAATTGAACTATCTGAACACCTTCTTTTTCGGCAATTTCTTTTAACATTAGTTGTTCATCTTCGGGTAAATCTTCCGGACGCGTGATATCAATTTTATTTATAACAATGAATGTCGGTTTATTAACAAATAAAGGCTTTACATTTTGGTATAATGTAATCTACAATTGAAGTGATTATTTATGAATGATATCGTAAGGAAACATATAAGTGAAAAACAAATGAATAAATAATATTCTTCCCAACCTGATCTTTAACACTATATCCACATTGTTCTGAAAGATCCATAAAAAACATGATGCAAGCACGAAGATGCGCTAACGCCGTAACCGACTGCATTTCAATAGTATTCATTTGCTCAAGTGGATGATCTAATATACCTGGTGTATCGATTACCTAATCAAAAAGAGTATTTTTAATATTCTATTCCAATATAAATATTTAAATCGTTAAACCAATTTACCTGCCATCTAAGATATTTATAATCCATATGTCCAACAAATAATGACTTTGTTGTAAAAGCGTAGGGTTGTACATCGACATCTGCTCTAGTAATTTTATTCATGAAACTTGATTTTCCAACATTTGGATAACCACAAATCAAGAGTGTTCTAGTATTTGGATCAATTGAAGGAAGACGAGACAAATGCTGACGAACTTGTTCCAAATAAGCTAAACTATCCTTTTGGCGTTTCATTATAGTGGCCATTCTAAAATTCATTGACAAGATTTTAACCATTAAAAACTTCGAGATAGGAAACAATTAATTAAATTTGCATGGATAATGAATTACCTTCCGAGTGCGGCCTTTTTTAATTGTTTGCATCGGTATAATGAATCACCGAATTTTAATAAACGGACGTACTCCTTGGCGACTTGATCAATTATATGGCGTGCGGTATTTATTTGACCTAATGCTAACTTGTAATGATCTTTGTCATATAATACATTCATCAAATCTGAATAGAATGGATGAATTTCCTATAAATACAATGAGAAAAATTAAAAAAAAAATTATTTGATGCTGCATAAACAACTTTGTAAAACTTACATCGAGTTTAGGAAACTCTTCGAGCATTGCTTTTAATTTTTCCTCGAAGCTGTCTTGCGTAAACTTAACTTTACGCATGTAAAATTGTCTTATCCTTCCAATTTTATAATTCTTATGAATAACGGTTGGAGTTTTTCTTTGAGTTTTTGAAAGTACGATATCCAAAAAATCATTAGCCGGTGGAATCGGCTGAATCCGCTTAAAATTATATAACGCCATACTGATTGCAATTCTTTGCTCTCGAAATTTGAAAAAAAAAAAAAAAAACCAATTTATTGAAGATTTTTTGGATGTTACACGATCTTGAGAATTCTGATTGGCCGACTAAATCTATTTTTATCAAAAATTATTTTTTTTTTTTACCTTTATCGTTTTTTTTTTTTTCGATAAAAAAAAAATTAATAATAATCCGGGTTCAAAACACATTTAGATAAAAGTATATAAAAGGTTAAAAATTTAAAAGTTTTATCACGGTTATATATATTCACTTTATTTAATAATGGCATTTAATTTTGCATCAAAGTTCCGTAAAACCCTTATTATACCAAAAATTCAAAATCCCTCAATATACTTACAATACTATACAACAACAAATAATATTAATTATCCTACGAAGCAAGAAAAAAAGTTGACTTGGAATGAATATTTTGCATTAAGACGTAAAAGACGATTAACCGAGCGATTTGTTACAGTTCCAACAACAATTGGAGGGTTTGGGTTTAGTTTTGCATATGTTGCTTCGAGAGAATTTGATCCTACGCCGATATTGGGACAAGATCCTTTTGTAATTTATGGAATCGGAACTTTAGTATGTGGTATTACTGGCTTGTTGATGGGACCTGTCATTGGAAGTTCAATTTGGAAATTATTTCATAGAAAGCAAGTTAAATTAATGGAACATGTACGTGAATGATTTAATTGATAATACTTTTAAAATGAGGCACATTTTTTCATTTATCCCCTAATTGATGATACTTTGTGCTCTCGTTTTTTTTTGAAATTATATTTAACATGATTATTTATTCCATTGATTCAAAAATTAGTGCGATCGAGAATTCTATAAACACGTTCAAAAGAATAGAGCGGATCCATCCTTACATTCGCTTCGAAATCCAGCCCCCGATTATTATGGTGAAAAAGTTAAATCCGTAGCAGATTATCGTAAATGGTTGAGGAAACAAAGAGAGATTGAAAGAAAAGGAACATTTCATCTCGGTGAAGAGAATTAGTCGATCAGATATCTTTTTTCATTTCAATAAAGAATCATCGTCTTCATTCTCTGAACATCTTTTGATATCACGTGATATGATTATCAAAATAAATGAAAGTAAATGTGTAACGAATTCACAAAAATTGGTCTGCTGTATTTATTGTTCATTAAAGGTTCACAGTTTAAACAATGTTTTTCCTTCCTACACCAACTTCGTCGACCCTAAGAAGTCTCGCAATAACTTATGGAATTATAACAACTCTTCTTTTAACCGTTGAAATAATACAACGAACTTATAAAATACCTGTTCATGTTTCTCGTAAAGTTATTCATGTATCTGTTGGATTCTTTATGTTTTTTTTTTTATATTTATTTGATCAATGGGAATACGTGGTACTCGTAACTGGATCTTTTGTGATTTTGAATTACATTTTTTTGAGGATGAGGATGTTTAAATCGATGGGTAATTAATTAAAAATGTTATATTAGATGTTCAAGTTTTTGATTTTGATTTTCTTGTAGACCCGTTAGAAGGAGCTACACTTGGTACTGTATATTTTGCATTTTCAACCGCTTTCCTGTTTGGATGGTTTCACGAAGGTTGGGAAAACGGATTCCCGTGTGGACGCGCATATCTTGCAATCGGTATGTTATTATTTAAATTGCGTTCATTTTGTATTTTCTTTTCGTTCTAACTATATTACAAATCTTTTCATGTAGCTGGATTAATGGCCATGACATTTGGCGACGCGTTTGCCAGTATAATAGGCAAAACATATGGAGCACGCAAATATCGAGTTATAGGAGATTCTCGTGGGCGTAAAACTATTGAAGGTTCACTAGCAAATTTTATTGCTACTTTGATTTCGGTGTTCGTCTTTTGGTGGATAATGACTCCTCCCGCTTTCTCAACTTGGGATTACTTTACTGGAGCTTTAGTTGCAGCAATTACTAGCACTTGTTTTGAAGCGATAAGTCCAATGGGGAGTGATAATATAACCGTTCCATTAGGGGTAGCCTTTACTTTATCTTTCCTAGGTTATTGATATCGTGTATTTATATTTGCGAAATTATCACGTGATGTATAGCTTTGTGACTTGTTGTACAAAACTGGCAAAACTCGAAAAAAAAAATAATAAAATATCTTAATAAAAGGGAATAACGTAATTATTTAGTTCATACTTGAGCGATAGATATCACAATAATGTCATTATTTTCAGATGATGACTCAAAGGTTATGCAGTTTACACCTTTCACATTTGAACCTCCACCGATAGACTATTCACAGTTTGAAGGTGTTAGTTCATTCCCCTCTTCAACACAATTCTACGAGGAATCCGCAAATTCTGAAACTTTCTTAAAGGAAAACGTGCTCACCAAGGGAAAAGGAAGGCAAGCGGAAGGATATGAGCCTAATATAAAGACTCAGAAGCAAATTATGTACCTTAACCCACCTCTTGTTTACGATCTGGACTATTGGTCTAATTCGAATCAAGGTACTGGAGTTAAGTTTCACCCGACTCGTTCAGAAGATTTTACGTGTTATGTTTTTGGAAAAGAGCCAATTGAGAAGGTAAACTTTACTCCTATTAATTATTATTAAACGCGTCGATTAAAAAAAAAAATTAACAAAGGTAATTTTACAGGTTAAGAAAGAGGGTTACACTTTGGATACTCGCGTTTATAATTGTTCTTTGGCAAATGATATAGACTCTCGAAGAGTAGTAAGTGTATATATTATACACATGATAGTCCAATTAATTGATATTTTCGAAATTAACCCGAAATATACCCCACACTTTTAGTTTTACAATGAAACGTTTTCTATTTTTCGAGAGGCATCTAGAGCAACATCAAGTAAAGAATGGCGCGAAAAATCGTGAGTTAAATTAATTATAAATATGTAATACATGTTTTTCATGAAGGCAGTTTATGTAATCTGTGCGTACGATTTGTGTTATAAGATCGCGGGAAAAATTATTATGTGATATTTCATGGAGTTATGTAAACGCCATTGTAAAACACATCAAGATTCTTCAAGAGGTTTGTGCGTTTTTTTATCTTTTATCGTTAATGATATAAATGTTATATAAATTCCTAATTTATACAAGTAGAATCCAAATAAAGATGAACATATTCAGAGAGAGCTCAACACATTTAGAGATATGATGGCCATTTGGGAATTATGTCGAATTATGTATTTCATTAAATCTGAAAGATATCAGAGATTATCAACGGATCTAGTGACTTGGTTAAATGAATGTTATCCTATGGGAGGTAAATTCTTATATTATTTGACAATGTCTTATAACATTTACATGTCCATTTTTCATTTTCAGTGATGTGAGTCAGATATTTTTTAATTTTCTCTAGCTTTAACAGAAGAGGAATTGAATGAAGTAAGGGAAAGTCCTAATCTGCGAAATACCGTGGTTTTCTGGTCAAGATTATACAAGTACATCTATGATTATATTCATTCATGTAAATTATATTATATTAAGCATATTTAATACTTTTTAATAAACTTCCTAGATTAATCCTTCGAGGCTTGTTTCCGCAAGCGATTAATTTTCTAAGAAGTATACTTATTCCGGTTGAAAGTGATAAATACATTAATAGAGAGATCGTGATCAACGATATCATACAATCGGTTATAAAATGTATAAAGTCTAGACCAAAAATTTCTTCACATGATACAGACTTGGCCTGGAGAAATTGGCTCTCACAGTGTTCGTGCGTACAATGTTTAACATGTATGAATGCGTCAGATTTTTTTTTTTTTTTTTGCATGTAATCATGATTTCTTTTTTTTTTTTGACCTTTAGGCAAGTGCAAAAATCGATAATCCTGGAAAATAAATTTTTAGAGGAGAGTTTTGTTAAGATTTTGAAAATATTAGCTGGTGATCCTGATGCTATTTTAAGCAAGAGCTCTTCATGGTTGGAGGGGTTGATCGCTCTAATTTATCATAAATATCCTAGATGTGATTCTTCAGATATAAAGTAAGTTACGTGATCAATAGCATGAGGCCGTGATCAATCACATATAACGATTTTCAAATTATAGAGCCATATTAGGGCCAATTTTCGTTAGGTTTTCCGTATATCCTGACGCCACTAGCCAAGTCTTAAAACGGATTTTTTATCAACGTATTGATGAAGTATGCTAAAGTTTGATTATTAAATTCGAGGGGTTTGATTTTTATATTTATTTAAAAATTATTATTTAGGCATTAGGTTATTGCAAATATATCGATTCGTGGTTATTATCGCATTTACTGGATTTACTTTGCAAGGTCGACTTAGATGAGATAATAGGTGGAAAGAGCTTGTATCCTTTAGTTAAAGAAGTATTTTTTTCATGGCGGAAACAAAGTCTAGTCAATGTCTTCCTTAACGAAAATTGAATCTCAATGTCATAGCCGTGAACGATGTTTAATTAACTTTGCAGAACCATTATTAACACATTCTACGTTATGGCAGATCGGATTTAAATATCTGGAACATTGCGAGAAATACGGGAAAGTTTATATAGAAGAAGTAAGCAAAAGAAAGAGATCATGTTAAAAATTTTTTTTATTAAGGTTTGATTCGGGTAACAATAATTTTAATTTGTTGTTAGTTTATTGGAAAGGTTCCCTTTGATAACGAGAGAAAATTTGAAAAAATATTGAAAATTTGTGAAGATAATGGATTAATATTTGACGAGAAGTGTATTACCACGGTAATTAACACGGCATGCCTTGCCTTTTTTTTAAAGGAAAAAAAAATAATGATACTTAAATTAATTTTGGTATTAGGCTATGGGTACTAAATACATGCAGATAAAGAGATATGGCTCAACCATGATTTATTATATGCGAGCAGGAAAAGATGAAAACCTTAAAACAATTTGCAACATGTTTCTAACACAATATGTTGAAACTGGTGAATAAAGTTACATTAGATGCTATTATATGTATTTATATTTATGTATTTACATATTTAATTTTATATTTGAACAATAGGGAAAATTACTTTTGAAGAAGTCATAGATAGTATTCCCGTTGATAAGGATTCTAATGAATCCGTTAATTTTTTGTCAAGATATAGATTGTATCATTCTTTAATCCAGGTAAAATCTATTGTAATAATGGTTTCTCACCTAATCGTATAATCAGGATTAAAAATATACCAAGTATCATAACGGTAAATACAATAGGACGAATTTTTTCATCAAGCGGCACAAGTGTTAGTCGAGTGTTTACGCTCCGAAATATCGCCAAAAGAATTTTGGGGTGTATTATTATTTCACACGGTACCTTTAATGAAGCACGGTACATAATCTATTTACCTGTCCGTTTATTTAAAAACAACCTTTGATACTTATATCTGATTGACATTATTAGGACGAAGAAAAGAAGTCAAATTATTCGAGAAGATACATATTGACGAATTCGAACATTATTGTACTCGAGTACTTGACAGAAAAATAGAGGATTCTTGGATAAAGTTGGTGCAAAGGATGAAAAGGTGGCATTATAAAGAGTGTGGCTATTTTAACATTTCGGAAGATTTGAAGCCAGTGAAGAATGAATGTGAAAGATATAAGAAATTTTTAAGCAAGTTGAAGAGATAATTTGTATGAAAGGACTTTTTTACCTTAGATATGGTATTATTACCAGTCGACCATATTTGAAATGGAAATTTGTGATAGAGAAAATATATATATAATATTTCATGGGTTCAAGGAATCCAGCATATATATAGATTGTGTGTTGAATGTTCTAATTATTTATATAAAAATTGATTGATTGTTATAGATTATTCAAAAAAAAAAAAAAAAAAAAAAAATCATTACAGATTTATTTTAGAAGACTAATATTTTCAAAATGTAGGTTCACTCACGGTAAAAGAGTTTGATTGACTTTAAATAAAAAAGGAATTTCTTAAATGATAAAAAGATTGTGAATTTGAATGATAAATACGTTATATGGGTTGATTACTAGGAAAATCAGGTTCCGGGAATTTTTTAGCAAAATTGAGATTTTTATTGCATTATAGTTTTTGATGTTTGCTCTTAATTTTAGTCAAAAATTTCTCGGAACCTGATTTTCCTAGAAACCCTCCTAACTAATCATGTATTATGATTCAAGTTACTAAGTTTGGGTCAAACTTCCTTTTTGAAAAAATAAAAAATGAGCTTATTTTCAATTAGGCTTTGTTTAGCGTTAGTTGTCCGATGATTTATTTTTTTGTACAACTATTCACTCCTTCGAGGCAAGGTTCAATAAGCTAAATTTGATATTCGGTATATTTTATACCGGAAAGATCATTATTAAAGAGGACTTACTAAACTTTGTAGATTTTTTTCAACAGGAACGGAGGAAGAATTTAATGAGGTCATAGGCAATGTACTATCATTAATTAGGTTCGAAGAAAAGTCATTGAAGAATTTCTAAAGGTTTCACCTTTAATACCTAAATTAATTAGGTTTAAATTAAAATCTTTCATTAGTAAAACGTAAAATGTAATAATGAAAGGATTGAATACCTTTTACTAAGCAATGTGAAGGTAGGAAAGCATCAAGGGAATTTGATTTAGGTAATAATGAAACATTTGGAATTGGAAAGAAAATAAAGGAATCTTGTACAGGATTTGTTGACCTTTGTTATAAAGCACCGAATGGATGGTTAAACATGCAATGCAAGCATTTGGGAAAAAACAAATTACGTCAAAAAAAAATTAGTTTACATTCATGCTAAAATAGGAAATTTGACTAAGGGACCCGAACCATTTTTAAGTTCTACACAATATTCCCTCATTTATTACAATAAATTACTAAAATAATTCAAGTCAATAAACACAAAATAAGTTGTTTTCATTGAAAAAAGGATTATCAGACAGCGGTTTTCTTTCTTTATAAGTCAGAAATTATTTTTATTAGATATACAACAACAAATACTAAATTCGGTAAACAATAAATTTTTCTCACCGAAAAAATTTTTGTATAAAGGACATACGGAAAATTCCCATCGTCTCGAATTTTATTTCTCTCTCTCTCTTCA